ATGAAGTTTAGAAGTGTGCACAAGATCTTGAACATAAAAGTTCTAGACAAAGGGAACAAATTCAAAGAACTACAGTAAGAAAAAGCTGAGCAAACCTGAAAAACATAAAGAGTGACTATAGCAGAAAAGAATGATAGAAGATGAGAAAACAAAGGTAAGCAGGAGCCAGACACAGATTAATAATACTTGATATGTTTTCAAATTAACGGTTATGTGTGGTCTCTGACACACAGTCAACAAGAAATATTTGATAAATTAAGTTAAATGATGTCACTAACGTGTAAATCAAAAAGCTACTATTTAACAAAACATTAATACTCAGGGTATAGAACCTTGGGAATTTTATTAGTGACACAATAATCTATCAAGAAATAAATAATAATGCTTTTAGCAAGAACAGTTGTCCATGTCTTTGTAGCTATCATTCTACTTTGCTTAGACATTCTTCTGTTTAAGATACTCAAATTTTCACTAACACTTACCTCAATGTTATTATTTAGGTCCATATAAACTTGCCTGGTTTCTTCCCGTTCATATTCATCTATTATTAACATAAAAAATTCAAAATTAAATTTTAGAACACTTATGATACCAACAAGAAAATACTCAAAATGCCTCAGGGAAACAGTACAATATTTAAAATTCTGTGTTAATGAAAGGCATTGGGTTATCTGTTAATAATTCAGTACTGGGTCTTTTTAAATTGCATCAAAAGCAATTTTGGTCCAGTCTGGTGTACAAGAAGCTTAGAAGTCACCACTCTAACCTAATAACAAGCAAAAAGCTGAACAAACTGAAAAATCAACAATTCTTAGAACCCTAAGAGAAGTGAGGCCATAGGGCAAATCACTACCCCAAAATTGTAGTGTCAGACAAACACAGAAAGAATCATAACTTACCAAGGCAGAAACCTACAAGCAGAAAACTCTATAGGAACTAGAGCCAGAGAAAGAAAGACCTGAATTATAATTAGTGGATTGCTGGAAATTCAGTGTGAACAAATCTGACAGATTAAAAACTCTAGGGGGACCCTGTCATCAGGGGGACCCCACATTCTTGAGTTTTATCTCCTGAAGCTCTACCAGGTTCTCACAGTGAACATAGGAAAAACACCCCCTCATGCTTACAGCACCCTGTTCTTCTTAACAAGGTCTGTCCTCAGGAGAAACTATTTAACCAGAGCACACCAGCTGGGGTTTTATCAGAGACTAACTGACCTTGGGGAAAGAAAATAACCAATTCCAGACAGCTCTAGCCTTCCATGTGGAGGAAGGAAAATATCCAACTCCATCCCCGTTCTAGTCTTACACATGGAAAAAGGGAAATACCCAACTCCAGCCCACTCTAGCCACCCTCTCCCACCTAAGGAGGGGAGGGGTAGGAGAATTTATGAAGTTCATAGTCTGGAGGCAAAGATTTGCTAAAAAATTGAGACCTGATCATAGGTCTATAGAACACTTCCCCTCCCCCTACACCTCACCACCACATTACTAAAGGTCCATTTATAGCAATTCCTTTACCCAGTATATCATGTCCAGCTATCAAGAAAAAATTACAAGCATACTAAAAGGCAAAAATATAGTTCCACAAGACAGAGCAAACATCAAAACCAGATTCAGATAGGGCAGGGATGTTGGAATTATCAGATTAGGAATTTAAAACAACTATGATTACTACAATAAGGGCTCTAGTGAATAAAGTAGACATCACACAAGAATAGATAAGCAATTTAAGTAGGGAGATGGAAATTCTAAGAACGAACCAAAACAAAATGTTGCAGATCAAAAATACTGTAAAAGAAATGAAGAGCTTATTAGTAGACTAGACAGGACTGAAGAAAGAATCTCTGAGCTTGAAGATACCTCAATAGAAACCTCCAAAACTAAAAAGCAAAGAGAAAGACTGGAAAGAAATGGAACA